TTTGGCAAAGCCAGTTTTCAAATCAAATCAATCAGTCAAGTCAGATTTACTCTCAGGAAAAGTCTGACTTCATTTCTTAATGCAATTACATGTGTTAATACATGTCCTCATGACATGCTCTCACATCTGAATTCTAATTCTGAGAGAGAGAGTCATAGTGGAGAGTCCTGGCAAGACTATTGCTTGCATGGAATACAGCAATTTTGGAGCTGTGTAAGTGATAGGAATTTAGGGGAAAATTTCTTAAAGTGCATAAAAAAGTAAATATATATATATATATTATATATACATAAGGTCTAAAAGAATATAAAAGCAGGCAAAGGGCTAGAATAATAGAAAATTGTAAAAGACTGTTACAGAGGACAGGGAGCAAGATGGACAAGGACGAAACAAGCCCACTGTTTCCCTAGATGGTGTATTACTCAAGATGATAGATACTTCTTTACTCAGCTATTTTTCTTCCATATTCAAGAGCAAGAAAGTTAGTTTTCCAATTAGAAAAGTAGAATTAAAGTCTGAAATACAGGATGAAACAATAAATAACACTGATCACTGTTATATAAAAATCATCTGAATTCTGTAAATGACCTTATAGTTTATTGAAAGGACTTATAAGCACAGTTGCAGAATTTCTGTCAGCAATATAAAAAAGGCAGTAATTGAGAGGCAACACACGTAGAGACTAATGCTTTTCTTAAAAAGTGTATCAAAAAAGTCATAAAAATTGGGTGTTGATATACTTAATGTCAATGCTAAAAACTGCCTAGAGCTAAAAATTATAAGTAGTTAATTAATGATCTATTTAGAAAAATTCTCTTGTCTTTCCCTCTCTCTCTAGGACCAGTCAGAATCACCAGTTAAAAACCCCTGGGAACCAGATCTCAACTCAAGGTAAGAAGAATCTCCTTAAGACTTCCAGATCTGAGCCAGCATCACAACCACTGTGTGCTCAGTGCACACAGTGGACAGACTGAAGCAGGGTCAGCATCATAGTCGGAAAATTCTTTCTGGGTGGGACTTCATTTGGATGATTTCAGATTTGGATCCCAGTTCTTAGTTCCTAGAATTCTATACATCTGTCTTGGGTAAGATGGAATAGACCTGCTTAAGAAACACACATTTATTTGAATGCTTTTCTAGGTCTCCCGCATTAGCATTTAGTGGGAGATGGTGTGAGGTTGTAGGTCCAGAGGTGTGTGGAAGCACACATGTGCATCACTGATGAGGGTGGGGACGGAGCAGGAATTGCTCTCTACAAACCTGGGCTGTGTGGATCCTCAGCACGCTCCACAGGGAAGACTGATGGGATGTGGAGCTTGAATTCTCTGCTGTTAAGATTTATCTGCCTCACATACGGTCTCTGGCAGGACCCTGCTGTTTTTGTGTATTTGGAGGACCTACCTAGACAGTTTGGGAATTACCTGCATCATTGACAAGATCTCCCTTTTTTGTTTGCTGCTATTGTGTGTACTTCTCACACTGGCTGGAAAAAAAAAAAGTCAGTTATATGTTTAATTGATCATTTTTAGTGCAGAAAGAAGCCTACACTAGCCTCCTCCCCACTGTGCTTATGGCTTTCAGTTTCTGCCTTTGGCGAAGAGAAGGACTATTCAACTTCCCTTCACATTTGAATACATGCATTTGTAGGAATTCATTAGTTTCCCACAGGAAAAATTATTTGAAAGTTACAGGCATCATTCAAAGCAAATATGGAGTCACTTATAAGACAACTCTAAAAGGGGTGTGTGTGTGTGTGTGTGTGTGTGTGAATATTGAGATAAATAGTTTCAGGTACCCATTAAAGTGAAGTTGCATTTCTGTGTGTGTGACTGGCCCTACTCAACAACTTCCTTTATTTACAAACCAGAAGCTCCAGCTGTTTTATTAAAGACTGAGTGTGAAAGCTGAAGTGCTTTGCCAACACAGACATCAAAGGGACCTAAGTGTACTTTCCTCCATATGTTTTAGATCATTTTTTCCCTTCATGCCTGGTATCAATCAGACAGAGTGCTAGAATGTAATACCTCACACCTTGAAGATTAAACACCTTCTCAGCTGGTATTTCTGTTTCAACTTCATTTCCTGCCGCCTTCTATCATGAGCCCTTTGCACTGTGTCATGTACAGTCTTGGTTCTGCCTGAGCAATGAGACTATGTTTTTCAAAAGCATTTTTTTCCTGCAAATAAGTAGACTCTGCCTTGTCTTTGACGTGTGCTTAGTTGCTGAATGAATAGCTTTGTTGGGCAGAGAGATAACATTATAATAGAGTCTATAATAACGATGCCAATCACGAATGGCAGGAAGGCTGTTATTCTTGGACTGTTGTATTTGTAAATCACGCTGGGTTCCCTACGGCTTAATCTAAAAATGCCACCTTGTCAGTGGTAGGAGCTTACATTTTGAATTCCCAAGAGAAATATTTCATAAAGAACATCCTACTCTTCTTTACTGTGTAATAAATAAGTTCCTGGAAGGACTCATGTTATCTAAGGAATTACCCAGGTGGCATTTTCATTTCTGTACCTCACCCAGCATGAGTCAGGCAGTTATCATGTTCTCTTATGTGTGGAGTTATTCTTATTTGTATTGGAGGTTTATGTATGTGTGTGTGTGTGTGTGTTTATTTTTGCTTTAGTTTTCTTTTTCCTTGAATTGGAAGCACATGTTTTGAGATGGGGTAGGGAGTATGTTTGGGAGCTCTGTGGCGTTAGAGCAGACCTATGAGGAGGAAGAGGCAGGGTGAAGAACCAGTTAGGGGTGAGGAATCTGCCCTTCAAAATAAGAAGACTTGGAGGTAGGTATTCAAAGAAAAGAAAAAAAGGAAGTGATTCCAGACAGTTTATAGATCTTTATGGAATTGATGTGTTCTTAAAGGTAAAACACCAAACAAAATAAATCAGATTTTGTGTTTCATTTGCCTTATACCTTCAGGCTGTTTCTTTTTCTTTCTTTCTTTCCTTTTTATCCTGAGAAGGTGGCTTCTCCTATTTTGGTTTATAATTTTTTCTGTCCCTTCTCTATATACCCCAGTGACTAAAAAGCAGAATAGTCCCTGTTTTGTAGCTATAATAGCAAAAGAACTGAGGACTGTTCCTATATCAACAAATGACCCATTTCAAAGCATGTTCCTGTGTAAGATCTAATTGTAAGGTCAGGACTCACAATTAGAAATGATAGCTAACATTCTGTAAATACCCCCTTAAGTGAATCAATATTTAAGGGAGCCCTGTGGGAAAATTATAAGGAAATTATAGGCAAATTTGGATTTAGAAAGAACATCAGATTATTTCACTCTGTCATTGCAGTTGAAAGATAAGAAAAATGAGGCTCAGAGAAATTGAAAATTATGTTGTAAGGTTTGTGGAACAAGCTAGCTGTGAAATCCTGATCTCTTGAATGTCATTTTTGCAGTCAAGCTCTTTTACAAGGTATCTCCTGTATATAATTATTCATAATCAAATCTACCTATTTTGTAATACATACAAGATTTTTTCCAAATTGGAAAAAAAGTCTTTAATCATAAATTGTCAATTGTAATAAAGTAGCAAACGAAATCTAAAATATGACTAATTTCCTTTATCAAAAAAGAATTTCTAGAAGGTTGACCTCATTTGAAAGAATAGTATGTTATAAAATGATTTATTTTATATCATACATTTTAATTATAAAACATTTTCACAGGTATCTTTGTATGTATTCTTTATTTAAAAAGCTGTGTGGTGAGTGACTGTTTGCTGCATATGACAGCTAAGAATCCTGAAGCTCAAAACTGAAGAGGTACTTCTGAGACAGGAGAGACAGGAGGACTGGGTTCAAGGTCGAGGTCTTCTGACTGCAAATCCCAGGATTCTTTTCACAATCTCATAGTTTGTTCTTCCAGTGGTTAACTGACCCTTCTTTCTTCACCTGCATTTATCTCCCAAATTTTGTTCCAATTTAGGGAACAATAATGAGATTTTTAAAACCAGAGCGATTGTAGTAGAGAATTTCCAAAATAATACTGCAACTGAGGAATATACCTAGAACTAATAAGAAGAGCAACATGCCGTCCTGCTGGCGGTTAGGATGGGTAGAGGCAGCTGGTCCGCTCCATCCAGCTCCTACTGGCTCTCAAGAGCCATTGGTTAAATTTACAGCGATTTTGTTATTTGTTAAATAGCAATTATTACAAATAAAATTTTATAAACTTTTAATTGAACATTATGTTAAAAACAAAGGTAGTAAATACTAGAGACTTGTCACTTCTTAATTATCTTACTATTATCTATGCTTTTGATGTTATTTACATGTCTGGTATCTGTGTGTTGGAAATGCTATTTAATGCTCTTCGCAGTCCTGCATTGGTAGTTTGAAATCAACTATGATGAAGCATTTATACCACGAAAATCACAAGTGCTAAAAATTATTATTTTGTTCATTGTCTAGGCTTAAAGTATTAATATTTTAATATTAATAATGCACATTAAAATTTAAATTGTGTTGTATATGCAGCTGTTATATTGTGAATAGCACATAAAATTGAGAAAACATTCTTCTAGTGTTTGAAAACTACTATCTGATTTAGCAAAGAAATTGCTCATGTCATTGAAAGCTGAATGAATTCCGACATGCATCCTTGTTGTTTTACTTTAGCCTTACTCTGTAATGTAAAAGAAAATATCAACCAGCATTTATGTCAGAATTGCACTCATTTGTCAATGACATGAGGACTTCTTTTTGAATCAGATTGTAATCAAACATTTATACGTAGTCCAATTTTGTGATTCTAAGGTTGGGGACAGAATGAAGAAGAAACTGATAGTGGATTTTATAGGAAACAGCAAATTGCACTGATGTCATTGGAATACAATTTACAATGATGATTATTATATATATTATCATTATTTGTAAATTGGGTGCTATATGTCATAAAGCAGTAAAACTTATAATAATTTTTTTAAAGCAGTAAAATTTATAATAATTTTTTTCTTGGAGAGTCTGTTAAACATTTATCAGCACACTCCAAGATAGAAGGCATGTTTTGTTGGAAGATGAGTGCTCTCTGCAGATGAGAATACTAGAAAAATTCATTCTTGTCCCTTTGTAGCTTTCCTTGAACATGAGCTCCAAGTATAAATAACGATACCAGGTTTATGTACTAGACCTCTGTGACCTTTTCCTATATTGTATGGGGAGGGACTCTTCTGTTTGTAGGGTCTTGATTTCAAATTCCAGAATGTATTTTCTATTGTAAAAAGTTACCAATTTACATAGACAAATGAAGGACAAGAAAAGCTCTCATTAGTTGTAGGTAAACTTCTGGTGTTGGACCCAAAATTCTACCTCAACACCGTCCTTTGTTTCACTTTTCTAGTACCCAGTACCTAGTGCAATGATTCTACCTTCTGTAACTAAAGCTCTGGTGCTTTTTTGGTCCTTTATTCCACTGGTGTGACTTATCCAAAATCAGTCATAATTTACCTTCTTTCATTCTGTCCCCTTGGAGCTCTACATATATTTTGCTACTGGAATAATAGTTGCCAAGGAGTTACTACTATCCTGTCTTCAAGTAATCCATATTTACATTAACACACACTCATTCTCTGGTCATGCTTTAACCCCAGTTGATAGCTCAAGGGTTGGGATTCCAAGCATTGTGGCATAGTGGTAGTTTGGGGTTGTGGATATTCAATAAATAATTGTGGACTGATTGATAGGATTCTCTTCCAGGCTCTTTCAATCATACCACTTTCAACTTCTTCTGTACTGGCAGACAAATGAGTCATATGATTCCTTTATCCTTCTATTGACTTTTGAATTCAAGCTAATTTATACAAAAGCCAAAATTGCAGATTGAGCATCTACTAGTTTTCTGATGAAGCTGTCTTTGGTTTTAGAACTGGCTTGCTTTACCATTCATATACTCTGTTGGTTTTTATTTGGAGTTTAGTTTGTACTGCAGTTAGTCATACTTAAGTTCCATTTGTAAAGGCCTTGATGTGACAGCAGAAATATCAAAAGAGAAGAAGAAATCATGAAATGCCATGGTCTTTTGACTTCCAATAGAAGAGTGGAGGTTAGTTATAGGTCAAAGTGAATGAAGGGATGTTTCGTAATGTCAGGAAGCTTGCTAAGGTAAAATAGGGGAATCTTACTGAGAATATATTCTTACTTCTAAAACTTCCATGGCTACTATAAGATTTAAAAAGGCATATCAGGGTGTTATGTATATTTAATATATGAAACTGAATATGAGCATTGCAGAGAGGTAGGTTAAGTAAAGTGCTTTGTACTTGGCAGCCTAACTTCCAATCCTAGCTCTGCCGCCTCAAGAAACTTAATCTCTCTTAACCTCAATTTTATTATTTGTAAGATTGGAGATTATTTATAATGTACCTACTTTGGACTCTTTTAATTATTAAATAAGATAATAAATACAAAGTACTTAGCAAAATATCCACTTGTTACAGATATTGATAACAGCATATTGACAAGAGGGTTTCCATGATGCAAAACCTTATTTAGAAGACAATTTGGGGAACAATTTCCCTTCAGAGAACCTTTTATTTCATGGGCCACATGATGACTTTCTCTATTATTATACTAAAATGGTGCTATTTCATGAAAATATTTTAATGAACTACAAATAGATTTAGCTACTTTGAAAGTAATTTGTTGAGTTTTGAAGGATATCGCAAATATTTCTACTGTGTGTGCTTTGTGAAGGTGGAAATTATTGAATTTCATTGGGAATTCTCTTTTTTGCTACAGAGATCAGGAAGATCTTAGGACAGTGCATCATATTTCAGGGGAAGGTACAAAGTGCTGTGGTCTGTCACGGTGCACGGTTTAACTCCAAATCCAGCCTAAGGGTTTTTATTATTTATCCATGTGTTCTGGGAATTTGAACTTTTATCTGATTAAATGTTATTAACATTATGTTATGTTTTATTGCATTCTGTAGCTACTCTTGGAAGAGTTCTCTCTCCCTTTTACTGAAGTAATATTCTATATTATCAAAGGATAACAGCTTAGATAAATATCAAGCTTTTCCAGAATTTATCTTCTAATCTCTGCTATATTAATAGATTGTAAATGGGAAGAATGCAAAGACTAAGACTACCAGACCTCACTTACCTGGTCTGGTGAATACCCTTCCCCACCTCCTGCCCCACTGGGACGTTATTTTCTACAGTTTGTTCCTTGGAAGTCTGGAAATATGCTGTTACAGAGGGTTACCTCAGAGGTCTAAGTAGTTATGGAAATGCTGCTTTTGGAGATTCATGAAGCATGTCAGCACATTAAAATCTCTGAGGAGTCCAGTAAAGCAAGTTGTTTGAGCCAGTGTTTTCCTCTTTTATTGCATAATTCTTATACCTTGTATCATTTGTTTGATGAAACATGTTTTAGGAAGCTTTATTCTGGATTAAGATTTCTCAGCCGGTAGCAAGAAAAAAATGTGAAATTGCTTTTAACAAAGTCCTGAGAGTTGATTTGGAACAAGAAGAATTGGACTTGAACCGTTATGCTACAATTTCACAGCCGGGTAACACTGGGTAAGTTATTTCGCTTCCCTAAATCTCAGTTTCCTTTTCTGTAATAGCATAAAATACCTAAAAACTTACGTACAGGTTTTTATAAATATTATGTATGTTAATGTCAGTGAAAATAGCATATAAAACCACTGGATGATATTTACTGACTCAAATCCTTCCCTTACAGATTTATTGGGCCTTATTTAACATGCACATGTTAATGAACGTAGGTCTCCAGTGTCTTAGCCTTAATAAATTACAATTAGGAAGAATGACTAGAAAGCTGTTGAAGTGGTTGTGGAGCAGAGGCAGGAAGAGCAGCAATCCCCAAACTGAAAAGCAGATTGATTATGTTGATACGTGTCATAATAGCCAATCATAGAGTTCATCAAGAAATGCTTAAATGATGTTAGGCATCCTCCATTTAAAAAGAGGTAGGGTATAATATTTTAGGTAAAATACCATAAATGTGGTTCCTTTAGATAAGGACCTCCTTATTATCCATATTTTAACATCTGCTTCTTGCACTGAGGTCAGGACATACTAAGATCTCTAAATTCCTGCTTAATAAAATGTTCACTATTTGTTGACTGGTAATTTATTTACTTGGAGCAACTCTCCCTGAAAATTCTAGATTGATTTTTTTTACATTGTCTTCTCAAAAGTGTCTGTTTATGTAGATTACATAAATACATACATAAATCATACAATATATAATAAAATATATAGCATGTACACTATTAACAGTGAAAGTATAGGAATCATATTTATTCACATGAAATACATTTATGATATTGAATATAAAAACCAGGCTAACAAATAATATAAAAATATATATGTATGCAAAGAAAATAAATCTGGTAGAAAAAAACAAATTGGCCAAAAAATTAGTGTTGATTCTGTCTGGGTAGTGAGTTTATGGTTAATTTTTATTTTATTGTATTTGCTTATCTTTATGTTCCAATTTTTCTGTAATCATACAAATGTGGAATATTTCATACCAACATAGCCCAAAACGAAACAAAGAATTCACTCTGATATTTTGTCTTAGTCCATTGGGGTTGCTGTAACAATATACCACAGTCTGGTAGCATATAAGCAACAGAAATGTATCTTTCGCAGTTCCGGAGGACAGGGAGCCCCAGGTCAAGGTGCTGACAGATTTGGTGTCTTCAAGGGCCCACTTTCTGGTTCACAGGCAGTGCCTTCTTGCTATGTCCTCACAAGGTGGAAGGGGGAAGGCGCTCTGGGGGTCTCTTTTGTAAGAATGCTAATCCCACTCACGAGGACTCCATCCTCATGACCTACTTACCTGCCAAACAGCCCCTCTCCTAATAGCATCACATTAGGCATTAGGATTTCAACATGTGAATTTGGATGGGACACAAACATTCAGCCCTTAGTACTGACCAAAAGAACTGAGCAGAGCAAATGATAGTCATCCCATGAAAGTCCCTCCGGAGCTCAAGGGTGTAGCTTTTCTTGCCTCTATGTCTCTGTGGCCCTCTGCCTACCCGCCTTCCTGAGTGTCACAGTCTCAGAGGAGATGATAGACTGGTACACCTCCAATCAATCAAGTTCTTACCTGAATGAATTTGCTAAAAGATGAAAACATACACATCAACCAAAATCTGAAACCTATTAATCTTAACGTCCCTACAGGACTCTTCAAGAAGTTTCCAACTCCTGTGTTAAATGGCTGAGCACAATAAATTTAAGAGAGAGAGAGAGATTAAGAAAGGACCTTGTGAAAACTGTAAACATCTTTGTAGATTTTCAACTGAGCTCTCCAAGCAGATGTGGCTCTAAACTGTCTAATGATTATTCAGTCGGTGTTGATGTGGTATTATCAGTGACATAGTAGGGGTATAAAAAGTTCTCAGCACCCCATCTCTTACACATAAATCTTGAAGGGTGCCAAGAAGGACTCATCAAACATTACCTGAGAGATAGTCCTGAGAGCATAACCCATGAGTATAATCTGTCTGAGACAGCAGTTAGCTCCAGGTAAGAGATAAATGACATGACCAATAATGCTTATGGTTCCTGAGAAGCTTTTATCACTCTCCTTTTTTCAAATTCTCTTTTATCAGAGAGAACAGAATTGTAGGCTAAAAGTTACTTTCTCATAGCTCCCACAGAGCACCCTGCTGTTGGACATTGTGTTTATATTTAATGACGAGGAGGTTGAGGAAGGCTCTTGGGTTTATATCACTGTTGGATTATTGATTTGTTTAAGGTTTTTGTGATTTGTTGCACTGGGGAAATTAATGAATTTTTTATGTTACGCTGGTATGAAGCCTGAGGGCTAGTAGGCTAATTATTGTTCGTAAGTGGAAGGACAGATTATTTATTCACTTAAAGCCACATATTCCAGGAGGTAGGTAGTTTCCCAGTGCAAGCAAAGTATACAAATGCAATTAAAAAATAGACATTTTTATGTCTTTTTGTTGATTATCAAAGGAGAACTAAAAATCCACTATTTTTTAAAACCTTACTTAGGCTTTTATGCAGATGTTTCTATCCCTCGCATTCTCTTTTATTTCTGCTTGTTTTTTTGCTGATCAGCCAGATGCGGATTTGCAGCAGTAACCCTGAGATGGCCAAAGGATGCACAGCCCATATGGACTTTCCTCTTGTTCTCTTCCTTAGCTCTCTCACTTTGCCTTTCTGTTGCTTTCCTTTTATCTTCTTTTTCTCTGTCTTTGATTAATTTGTGTTCTTCTCTGAGCCCCGACTCCCTTTCTTTTTATTTTCTTGAGTGTTTCCCCTGTGTCCTTCTTATTCTCTCCATTGCTTTTTTTCACCATGATTCTCATTTTCCCCTACATCACTCTCAAGGTCCTGCTTTCTCACCACTTCCTCCTGGCAGTACCTGGTAGTGTTTCCCTCTCTCTCATTACTGTTGCTTTTCTGTCCCGTTATCTCTCTTCCTTCTGATCCCCATGGAGCCAGTTCGACACTTTCATCCCTGTGTACACTGAAATGAGACTCATTTAGATTTGTCTGGTATTGGCAGCGGGAGAGAATTTTATTTAGGGCAGGAGATGTGAGGTAGAGTGAGTGTCTCTTGCGACCAGCTTAGCTGAGATCTGGCTTCTTGCCAGAATCAGGAATCAGTCAGTGTTCAGGAAAAGTGATTTCTGGTGTGAAGGACAAGGGGGATGTGTGAGGCCAGCTGTGGTAGGTGAGGTGACAGGAGATGGACCCTGCAGATCTGTAGGTTCTGGGCTGATGAGGTATTTCAATGCTGAAGAGCATCATGCTGATTGTCACAGGCAAAGTTATCATCCCTGTTCACTCCATCATTCAATTTAAGCCACATATTATTGTCACACTAATTTACCATCTTTGCTGCTTTCCTCTTAATCTCCCCTTTCTTGAAACTCCTTCAGAAACTTCAGTTACTGTTTTGTGCAAACCGCTACTCCTTAGCAGCTTGCCTGCCACCAAGTGAGAGCTCTGACTTCCCTCTGCACTTCCAGTGCCAACTTCTCCTCCTTCTTTCACTCGTGCTCTTTGCACATATTTATTTGACCTTTTCTCCCAAAATGTCCTTCTCATTTTTTGAGAGACTCAGTCCAGCTTTATTCAGAGGATATGCCTCATTTAAGCAGTCCTGTCTATTAACCCCAAATTTTCAGCACCCTTGTAAAAGTTTAACATTATGCTTTCCCTACATATTAATTTGAATCCCACCTTCCCTTCTCTCTCAAAGTATAAGCTCTGTGCATAAACTCGCACCTATTTTGCTTATCTTATATCTAGTAAACATTCATTTTTGATGAGGACATAATTTCATGTAAAAATTTTTTTTGATTAAAGCAATCTTAGTGCTTCAATAGACGTATGTAAATAAAAGTACGTACAGAAGGCTGTGATCTGGGAAGGATTTTATAATATTGTGTTTAATCCTTAAGGATTAAATAGTCTTACCCATGTTCCTGTATCAGAAAAATTCTGGTTAAAAAATACATTCTTTGGTGGCTAGGGTCTCCATCCAAAGTCTTGATGCCTAGTCCTTTTATATTCTTCAAGGGAGTGTCTTCGAGTGGTCTGTTGGTGGAACAGCCTAATAATCCTTGTGATTTGGACCATTCGTCTCTTTGTAAGAGATGTCAAGGACTCTTTTCATGTTTTTAAATGCCTTTTGTTTTTGTCCTATGGTATAATTTTCTGAATTGATTTTTGGGCACTATCTTTAAAGTCAGGATCAAATGGATATTTGAAGTACTCTAATGAATAGTTGCTAGGTAAAACTGCTATTTTGGGTCCTCAATAGACATGCAAACAGACATATTTTCTATAATACGCATGCCTTTCTCAGAAAGTGTGTTCTAACAGCCACTGATGAGTGAGCAACCACCTATGTGACACTCACTACAAACCAGCCACAGCTTAACGTCAGTGGTCTGTTTGGCCAACCAGGTTGTCTCTTCTAGAAATTTAGAGTTGGGACACAGGACTCTCCTTAGTCAGAATTTAAATTTATAAAGGATGTTAAGCCAGAACTGGGAGTAATAGTCTTTGACTCACATGTTAACGGGTAGATAAATCTGGACAACATAGAAGGAAGATAATAGAGACATGAAAACAGAAGCAGAGATAAGACCTCTTGTCATGAGGGACAGAGACAAAGAGAGACAGAAACACATGCACAGAAATACAGAGATAGAGGGAGACACATCAGCCAGCTGGGGGCGAGAGAAAGAGGAAACGAGGGAGGGTGGGAGGGCTGGAGGAAGAGATACCCACACACATGCCTCAGATCCCAGCAACTCACCAGTTCCCAATTCCACCCCCACCCCGCTTCCTCTCCCTGATGAGGACAGAGGCAGAGACCCTGTGCTAAAGCCAGGTCGACTTGATTCTATTTAGCCTACCTTTAGTCTGTGCATTTCTAACTCAGAACAACTTGCGTCCATGACAGTTCCATGTCCCTGCTGTGAATTAAGGGTGCGTGCGTTCTGTCTTGGTATTTAGTAAATTGCCAAACTTATCAGCAGTCATTGTCATAGTAA